GAAAGACGGTGGGCGCAAGTACTGAACTTCGGGGAACACCGGGATTCACAGGAAAAGACTGAGATAGAACCCCACCAAATCGGACGGAGATGGTTCGCTTACTGAGGAAACTTGATATCCACGCTGCGAGCGCCGGAGGGAACCCGAATACGGTCAGTAGAACTTCATGCCAAACTCGACAGCCTTTGGGATATCAAGCGAGACTAGGTGGGTTTCTCCAAGATTATCGAGTGCACCCGACCAGGATAGTGAGACAAGAGCCAGCAGGTCATCGATAGAACGACGCTGTTGGAAGCTATACTGGCAGTCACTCAGTAGTCCTCCTAGTTCGAGGAACGTGCACGGTTGGTCGGAGATGATGATTCCAAATACTTTCGAATGAGAGAAATTGTTCTAAAATTATTGGAGTCAGAAAGATCACTGCGTTTGGGAATGAAAAAAAACCACGGCGTGTTTCCATGGCGTTTGGAAAAGTAGAAAGTTAGACGGAGAGACTGAAAAGATGACTTAAAATAAGAGCCAGCTCGGAAGCACACATTTTGAGGACGATGGGTGGAATATCGTTCGGAATGAGTGGTTTGTTTGCGTTTGAAGAGCGCAATGTCTGGTGAATTTTCCTAGTGTTCATATGAGTTTGAGAAGGATTGTCATGGAAATAGGAAGAAGGTTGAGTTGGTGGTGAATCGGGAAGCAAAAACCTCAGCTTCCTCGTATAGTTGACATAAAAGATCACCGGAGGAACTAAATGTAAGGAGAAGATGGAGGGATAGGTACTACGGGAAATTGCTTTGGCAAGTGACCAAAATGTTCGGCTACCGGTGGAGGACAAGAAAATGTTCTAGGCTTTGCAGCGAACGAAGCCTACTTTCGTTCTCTGAATGTTTGTCGAGACTCTGTTTCTAGCTTGCACAAGCGCTAGAGCGAGTCAAGAGTGGACAAGCGACGCCAGTGGCATAAGTCTCAGCGTTTAATATGTACAGCACGATCATATGTATGGTTAAACCACTTAGGGAATTTGGGTTTGCCTGGTTTGGAAAAGTGCGAAACAAAAAGATGCACACCTTAAAAAAAATGTCGGTGAAGTTAGTAACAGATTTGGAAAGAAAAGCAAATTTTCTAGGAATGAGAAGGAAGGAAATGAAGAAAACTGCCCACTTGGCTGAGCTGTTGCATCACAAGTAGTGTCTGCAGGTGGATGGCGGATCGGGGTTGATAAACTTGGCAGGGCAAGAAGCGATACAATGATCCGATGAGCCAAGAGTATGGAGAGTACAAATAATATCTGAGAAGAGAGAAGAGGCAGAAGTAAGAAGTAGATCGAGGGTATTGGCACGGTCACCAGCTCAATTAGGGGCACCTAAGGGAAAGTAATTTAGTTGGCTCAGGTTGTCGACCAAAGCAAGTTGTTTGGCTTCGCATCCCAAAAAAGATGTAACAGGTGAATGTGTCGACCATTCCCTATTATGAAAGTTGAAACATCTCAATATAGTAACACTGAGTTTGGGGTCGGTTGCAGGCAAGTGTTCAATGTACGAAGATAAAAAGTCGAAGATGGAAGAGTTATCGCTTTTGGGGGACTGATACAGGACACAAAATCATGGGTTAAAAGAAGCAAGTCGGAGCTTCAGCCACATCATCTGAAATTCACGATGGGAAAATTCAAGATTTAGAATTCAATAGGAGGTGGCTGGTTGGTGAATAAAGGCGCAGACACCAGTTTTGGCTAGACAGGAAGAGTGTCAAATGTAGTTGGGAACTTGAAGATGAGTGGTGCCTAGCGAGGGGGAGATTTGTGTTTCGGTTAAAAAAGGACGAGAGGCAAACAACTATGGAGACATTGGTGTACAGAATCGGTATTTTGATTCAGCCCGCAAATGTTGATGAGTGCGATGAGTGTGTGTTTGCATTGCGAGTGCGTAGAGTGAGCGAGAGAGTGAGAGCGCGTGTGATTTTGTATGTGATATGAGAGGGAAACAGAAAACTATGATTCTGAGACTTCAATAGATTAGCTGTGGTAGTGATCCGGGCGAAGGCAGAGGCGTCTATCACCCTATCTGATTTAAAGGCTATGAACTTTCAGCGACATTACCCAGTGGTGAATGAGCTTCCACGGAGCCCCCGGCCTCTTTGCACCAACACACTTCCGCCTTGCAGTTCGCACTTGGCTGTGCTAAGGTTAGAGGTGTTATCTCGAAACAAAATGCAGAGTAACACAGGGGATTTCTCTCGCACCAAACACCCACGAATCTCCGTGATTACCAAGGCGTTGGCATAATCTACCAAAAAAGCCAGGGACAGTAAAGTAAAGTAAATTACGTATGTGTGGTAGCTCGCTCACGCAGTCCTGGAAATTCAAGCGTACAAGGTTTGAGACAAGGCGAGAAACTTTTCCCGAACCTTCAATATGAAGGATCTCTTTGTAGTTTAACAACCTGTTATGACCTTAGTCAAGGCTATGAATATAATATTTCCTTTTTCGAACGCACTCAGAAATAAAGTTATCGAAAAAAACCGTGGGTTTCGGTGGTTTCGTCGCTGGTTGCATCTGGAATTCACTCCATTCATCAACCGAAAGTAAACCATAAACTTGCTGAAGATCTCCTTCACGTAATCAATGAAATATCGTGTGGAACAAGTGAGGAGTTTACTGTACTGATCCCGAACTTGCAATAAAATGATGCTGTTAAGTCCATTTCGCACAGCGCCTGACAGGTAGTTAACGAAATGACTCAGATAGATGATAAGCCGACCCTGCATGAGTTTCAACATTTTTGTGAACTTATTTACCTACTAACAATGACTTACCCTTTTTTCAAGCGCTTCAAGCAGTCAAATACTGATCGATGTCAATTCTAGAGATCCTTGGGAATGAGTGCTACATGATATGCTATTGATGTGGAATCAACCACTGGAAGCAAAGCGCAAATACCAAGTTATAATACTTGACACTGAATTCTACACGTCTAGGTTTGAGCCATTACATACTCGTTGGATATGCATTACTGATGATCCTTGACAAATTTTAAACCGAGGTTTTCTAGAGATCAGATCGATGTGCAGTTTGCAGTTGCACCAAAAAATAGGTTCGTTCATCTGTTTTCTTTTTCCAAGTTCACGTGTTGCTTACAGAAATAAAGACTGTCCGGCATGCACCTAGGATGTCAGGCCACAAGATTACTAAATACCTTCTTGGTCTTTCAATACTGACAATGTGCTACAACAACAATGTGAACAATGTGCTCATAAATTTATCGAGCTAAAAATACAAATTATTATGAATGACGGGCCGAAAGTGAGAGTTAATATACAAGATGATACTAGGGTGGTAAGACGTCGTAAGGAGCTGTAATCGGTAACCATCCCGCCAACCACTGTCTAATCGATCTGTGTCTTTGTGGTGATCCAGGCCTACACAATGGCGCCTACCCTGGAGCCGAGCGTTACAGTTTCAGGACATTTGCGATCAATCAAGTTTGAATGCTGACGTCAATGACACGTGCATAGCTTTTGAATACACGTCATTGGTGGATGGTCCAAGACAGTGCAGACAAAAGCAAGATTATGCAAGAAGTATTGCAATCCGATTGGTGGAAGCTTAGACAACCAATAATCTTCTTTTGTACATATTACCTAATCGCTCCCATTTATTTAAATAAACAAACTACTGCTTACTACCATTCTTGTGGCCTTTTCCTCGCGTCTCGTTCTCGAGGGACATCGCGAACCCGTGCCATTGCGGTCCATTGCTTCTGTGACCCAGTCCGTGGTTGCTGATTATTGATTCGTGTCAAGTGATTCCTATTGCGTGGTTTGCATTCCGAATTCCACGCGTATTACTACGACTATTACAACTATTACAGTCTTGTGAATTCAATGAACATGAATTCCGTTTACGGCTGAAGCATTCCATTCCCTCCAGTCATTGGATGTCACCAAAAGTTGTCTTCAAAGTGGGTATTAAGGAGTATATGCGTGTATAAGGGGGGAGGGTGTAGGCAGGGACTAAAATTGAGAATCGATCATTTGTATCAATGAATCAGTACTATCGTTGCTCATGCATCATCGTCGAAGCCATGTTTGAAAACATATCCCTGAAACTAACAAGTGATCTGACAACACCAGTAATGCAATACAGCGGAAATATCTAATGCTCATTTGGGGGCCACTTAATGGAAGCGTTGGAGGAAGCTGGTGTTTCTCGATGTCACCGTCAATGATCAGATTAACTCAAGTCTCATGATAGGACACTGTTGCATATGACTATCAGATCAATGTTACCGGCTGTGTTCACATAGACCCCTTGTAATATGCAAATTTCAATATCACGGTACAAAGACGCTCCCGTAGGTACTTAGAATACCACACTTAAATGCATTGCATCATAAAAGCTGAGATGAGGCATTTTATCGTGATGGAGCATGCGTTTCAAGTTGGTATCACGCACCGAATTATTTTTTAACCATTCATCTCCTATTTCTCAAGTAAATTAACTTTTGAATCAAGCTATTTTCTCGCAGTTGATAGTGATTATCAATAGTTTGCTTTTGAATTTGTGGAAATTTGAATACTTCCTTTCGTGAGTTGAACAAAGATTGAATCTCTGATGAATACTTTCCCAAAAACGATCCACGCTCCTGAACCTGTAATGTTGCGCTACCGATCATATTACTTGACACATTTGAGTAGTTTGAAATGGTAGGCTGACAATCAATCAACCAATCAAAGCCCACGAAAACATCTTTCGTTCTTAACCGAATAAATCTTTCTTTTGCTGTTCCTGTGTCATTGATTATCCTCTCAAATATCACATGTGGATCCCGAATCTGCAATATTCGGTCGAAAATATCTCAATTTCACTAGAATATCCGAAGTGGAATGATCAGATTTTTCCAACCGTGTAAACTTTTGCGATAGTCTTTCCAAGCTTGCAACTCTTGCTTGAACGATGCTCATTTGTGCAAAAAACAGACAAAATAAGGAGCATGTGAATAGGTAATTACCTGATTCATAAAGTTTCCAATCTCCAGAATTGCACGAAGAATATTCCGAAGTTTGGTGGAATTTAGGAGAGCTGATCAAATGAACGAAAACAAGGGGATTGTTATAATGACCGGAAATTCAGTATTGTTCTCTTCTAACTGAGTAGCTCAGTGAACAGTGTACAAAGTTTGTCCTATATTTCACTGAGAAAATGCTAGATCGTCATATGTAAACTAAAGGTCTTGAGGGAACTAGTATGTTTGATCTAAATATATGCCAAACTGTTGAGTGAAATTAATTATGCACTGATGTAGAATGCGGTTTGAACTTTTGCCATTGTAGGATAACAACGACTGAAATACATTTACTGTTCGAACTATCTGAAATAGATGTTGCGGAACCAGATTGTGGAATTACGTGATATTAGGTTAGAGGACGGTGTTGTCAAAACAGGTTCATCTTGACCCCACTTATCTTCAGACAATATTCGTTGTGAACAGGACTAAGCGAATCGAAAATTGAAAACCTAGTAAGCAAGAACAAAAATCACTTCATATGTTTCGATTATCCATAAAGTGTCGAATTTCGAGAATTAAAAAGTCACGAATCGTGATTTATTCATAAAGTAAATCTAGACAACGAGGTAATCCTTGAATTGTACGTTAGGTTTTAGAATCACTCAATTAATGGTGCATGACCTTGTCCTCTTCGATTTCATGGTAGTAAACCTACAGAGACCAGCTCCCTGAACGAGTTCAAGAACATCGGAAACATCCTTGCCTCCGGAAGACAAGCCTGCAGTTATTCGATTAGAAGTGAGGACATGCTGTTCACTTATGGAAACCGGCAACTTATACCCCCGGGACTTGTAGTGGTAAACTCCCCGAGGCCCACTAGGTTAGGCATATTATTGAACCGGACCAAAGCAAAATTGTATAGTGTTGATATGGGTCCAACCTCAAGCCATTGAGCCAAATTCACGCTTGGAACAGTGACTTAAATTGCCTGATCACTACCGCCACCTAAATGACTAAGGCATGCATATACTACCGACATATTCCTGGTAGTTAGTCACAAGTTACCAACCGTCTCCACGATTTCCGTAATCGAACTTCACCCAACACTAGATTTCGTCTTCTGTTTCCTCGTCCTAATTAGAAAGTCGCCAGAAGTGTTCAGACACTTATTGTGGTAGACTGTTCTCTGTACAAACAGATAGTTTGTGATGAGGTAAGAATACCGCTTTTTTTCGTTGAAGATGTACAAAATTTCTTTTAGCTAACGTTTTTGTCCGTTTTTGGATTTTGATCACTGAACCCTGCCTCAAACAGAATACGTTATAAAAAGACTGTAATTTGTAGTTTTATGCATCAAAAGCATCCAGAGTATGGAGCTAAATTATCCAGTGAGTTGAAAAGGGCTTTAAAAGCTGTTCTGATTGGTCAGTGTATGAGATTGATGCAGGTCCGGGATAAATCTGTCTGATATCAAATCTATAGCGGGCCCCAAAATTCTGAATCTTTCATGTTTAAAATTCATTGAATAGACGGTATCGTGCAAGAAAATAGGACGCATGGATTTTTTATTTTCCATTCTGTTTTTCGAAGAATTCACTGTTTCAAAAATTCTTTCCGGATTGAGTAATGATTTATTTTTCCACAATCCAAAACAATCAGTTCCATGCATTTCAACGAACCTAGGATCGGTATGAGGGAGTGTGGGAGCATTTCATATGCAAGAAATATTTGATTCACCTATATCCATCGGCATGATGAAGTGTATCTTTTTATGGTGAATGCAATTCCGTTATGCACCCAAAATCTCCTGACAATTTATTTGTCATCACAATGAATGTACACACGCTCGATCGCACTTGAACACTGAGAAAAAAGCTAATATCCGTGTTTTAGGAGTAAATCTGTTCTACTGCTTTACGTTTCTGTTCTCCGGTGTCTCGCATTCTACCGGAATTCAACTGTTTTTGTGTGTTTCATTCACTCATTAGGAATTGCTTATTCCAATTAGTCAAACTAAGCTGCAACTCTCTTATACACCCTCATGTATTGCTAGACCCGTTATGTTATTCAACACCGATCGTGAACGAATTGAGCGACCCTATCATCCAACGATGCGGGATGGGGGGGGGGCGNAACAACATATACCCCGGAGACAGCACTTTCCATGAAACATCTGGCTGTCTTTGTCGAACTGGGGCAAGACCGAATGATTTCACTTCTAATCGCTCATTAGCATCCTCTTTTCATGTCCCTAAGCAAAATTTATTCCGTGGGTGGGTGGGACAAACTAAATGTTAGGTACCGATTCCTTAAAACAATGAATCAGCTGAGCTCAAATGAAGATTTGATTGAGAACCACAGAGAGGAAGCTCATTCGGGCAGTTCAGCTTACGCATTCTCCGCACTGATACGGCTCTCCGGTAAGCAGTTCTCACGGATATTATTAACAACCACTGCGCCTCAAAAAACAATCCAACTAAGGAACTCCATTTTTGGTAGTTTCGGTATTGGAATCCCTCGCTAGTTCAGTGTNNGTTACCCACTAGTACGGTATCACTGTGTTTGTAACACCTTGTCCTTGGTTTTAGTTGATTTCAGTAAAATCGTATTCCGATGAGATCGATGGAACTGTTTAGGATCATTTGCATAATAGCAGCGGGGTACTTGATTCAAGTATATGGTAAATTTCGTCGTCGTGTACAGAGCAAATGAAGCGTGAGCGGAAAAGTTAGGAAGCATTCGACTACCGTTTCGTCCTGATTGGTTCTCGTCAGTAGTGTGAATCCGTCGACCTAGCTGATGATCAAACCCGTATCCTCACTGTTAGATTACAAGCTTACTACCCACTTGACTTCCGGGTGGCCGATCAACCCGCTTTTCATTTTCCTTATCCGTTAAATAGCACAATCCATATTTACTAGCGTAGTGCGGGCAGCAAGCCTCCTGTATCTCTGCATTGGCCTTCGGGATTATGACTCGGTTTGAAACATTATGAAACCGATTACGTGTTGCATGAGAGTAATACAGGATTTAATGCGAGTCTTTTCCCATCAAAAATGAAAAATTACGAAATATCGTGTGGTTTGAACTTCTGAGTGGAACAATGGTGTTTGCTGTTTGCTTTGTCGAATCAGTCCTTGTGTGTACTACGTTGAACAACCGTGCACGGACTTACCTTCAGCCGTGTTGATAAGTTTTTCCAATTCTGGATCAATCCAGTTCAAGGTGGTTTGAAATTCCTCACGTAGCAACATTTGATCGATTTTCTGATCATACCTATATCAGAAGGAAGGAAAGTAAAAAAAGTACATTTGTGAAACCAGGAAAATTCGTTGAGTTAAATAGACTCTTTCTCTTGTTCTTTCCGCAGTGCATATATTTCTATATAAATCATCTCCATCCACCTAAAACATAACGCACTCTAACTGTAGGTGATCCTACTCACTTTGGTATACGAACTAGACACACCATAAATTGTTCAGCCGGGTCCAGCAGTTCCACCGAACCAGCATATGCACTCAATATTTTCAATTCCTGATCGTTCGGTAATAGTTTGATCAAACTGCGCAAACGTTCCGCACCGAATACGTCATTATCGGTTCGATCGATCCAGTTGGCCACGGTGGCTGGATTGGTCCGAAATTGGCGCAGAAAGATGTTCACATTCAAACATCGATGACTATCCAACATTCGAGGCTGTGATTTTCAGGTCGGGTTAGAGGGGGTTCCGGGGAAAAACGAGAATTGTCATCGAAGAGAAATATTTAGAATTCACTGTCAGACCACACACAACAATAACTTAAATCTACACGTGTGTTCACTGTTTTACTACAATTATAATAAAGTGGAGAAGGTAAGTGTATAGATACCGGGAGAGTAACAGAGATCAGTTTTATTAGCGTTGTCATTTTGAAGATAGTGCACTAAATATATAAATTCGGTTTGGCTAACTTGTCGTGTGTTCTAAAAAAAGGTTTGGGCAATCAACTCGCTGAGAACAAGTTTTTAAGCAAGATATGGGAGGGCAGACAACGTTTCGTGATTTCGTAAAGAGCCAAATAGCTATGGGAACTGGTTGTACTTTGAGAAATATCGATTACACTGACCCAGTAATTTGGACTGTTGAATCATAACCCCAAAACAAAAATGATTTCTTTCAACCGCTAATTAGGATACCAGTTAAACTTTCTTTTGAGGTCTCACGATGACAGTAGCATCAGTCACACAGCCGTTGTTGCCTTGATCATGATCAGGGGCCAATTGCTCGTGAAACTGGGGTCAACTTACCATCCCCTCTGGGACAGAGACACAGCTTATATTTCGTCAATATGGAAAGAAGACAAATGTCGCGAGATGGTGGCATTTCGGTCAATCTTCTAAATCGCTGACTTAAAACAAACGGATATATATATAGCACATGGGTTTGTTCAATTATGGTGCGTGAACGCGAAATCGATGACGCGGTCGATAATTGGTGACCAAGTGATTGCAGGAAAGTCAGGATCATCTGTTGCAAAACAGGTCACGACAACAAGACACAGTTGATCACAATTTGTTTTTCTTACCACTTGTGCAAAATACCAGTAGGGAGAAAACAGTGGTTTTAAATCGTAAAATATTCCCATGAACAATGTAGAAAACGGTGTTCACGAAGAAATTTCTTTTTAATATATCTCATCAGGCGTTTACATATATAAGGTGCTCATAGTACAGTTATTTGATTGACCGATTAAAGTTCAACTCGTTCTCGACAACTTATTCGGGGCTAATACAGTTATATAGTCAAATTAATCGCAATGGAAATTAGTGAAGCGCTAATCATCCGATTACATCACCCGACCTTATGCGCACGAAAGGTTTTGATACAAACAATCCTTTTACCATGGAGTTGACCTTCTACTTCTATGTTTTGTGAGTTCTGTATGCTTTTACACGCTCATTCATCATAGTTAAACAACCCCGTGTGCTACATACATACCTGTTTGTTTTAAGTCCGCAATTGAGAAGAATAGACGAAATTTTACCATCTCGCCACCTTTGTCTTCTTTCTATAGTGATGAGGTGGATAAAGAGAACCCAATGCTTCAAATCACAGTACACATTTCTGATAATGCTTCCAAAACCAGGATGAAGCAGATAATTAATTTCTGTCTGTTGGCCATCAAACGAATTCTCATCAATCTACTGTCTTTCTTTAAAACAAGGAGTTAGTTGGCCTTAATCAGTAAACAGCTTTTGAAGTTGAAGTTTAGTAATTAGTTCGTTGATGTGTCCTCACAGTGAACACTCTTCACAATGAAGTTTGACACACCAAACAACAATATCATTGTATACTTATGAACACTGTGGTAGCTATTTTATGCGAAGATATGATAAATGATAATAATGATAATAAATAAAATGAATAGAAAGGAATACATTGAAACATTTCTGGTTGTAGCTACTCATTAGCAAGTCAGTATGGGAAAAATGAGCGGCAGTTTTTTGTCGGGTCGCACGTACATAGCTGACTGAAGTTAGCAATCGCGCAATCCGAACGTTGACGGAAAGCTGTCACCAAAACATTTACCCAAGTGGCGTAAGAATCAACAGTGGTAGAAGTGAAACGTTCCGTGCGATTCACAAGAAAGCACGTGAGTGGATGTTATCCGATTAGCCAAACAGACTTTGTCTGGAGCCAGTTTACAATCGGACAGTTGCAAACTTCTGTTTTCTTATTAACGACTTCTAAAATGCCTATTTTTTTTACAAACATCTATACAATTTAGGTCAAAATCTTTGGCGTTTGGTCAGGTAAACTCTCGATGGTGTCCTCACTTTGTCTGGGTGCCTGTTTTTAATGAAAACTGATGGTTCGGTGGCTGTCCAGTCTATCCATAACTCTGAGCAAAACTAAGTGACTCCGTTATGTTCCTAAGTAACGGTAGTTAGCGTCGTGATACAATCAGGTGACATCACGCAATATTTGGCATCCTGGTTGTCTGGCCTTTGTTCCGTATTGTTTTTCAAAAAAGTAATCATTTTGATGTACAAAATCAGAAGAACTAGCATTATTCTTAAGATAAAACGTTCATTATATCACCCACCTGTTGACTTCGTTGCCTTGAGTTTGATCTACCGGTCGAGGAAGAACGATTTTTCAGCCCAATTCGTGAGCTTGAATCGACCACACATTCGTTTTTTGGTGCTCCTGACTGACCTGCCTCGTCCTGGAAACCGTATTTTTCTGTCCAGTTCAGTCGTTCAGTTGACACATCTCCCGCGGAACATCCCACATTCGAATAAACACCTAAACAATGATTTGAGGTGGAAATAGCCACATTCATGCGTCCATCACTGAGCCGGAACGAAGTCGTTGTGGTTTGTTGTGCAAACAGTTGTGCCAGTTGTGCCAAATCTACAAGACCCTTTGGTTGGGTACCGTGTCCGTTTGAGCACGATGACCATACTGAAGATTCCTCGGTCCACACGTTGGGATTACCTCTGGGTATCACTTGGGTCCATCGAAAAGGTTTCAAACGTATTCTTCCCAGCCGAGACCATTCCGACTTGTACTGATCGATGCTGTGAAACGATTCGATGTGCCCTGTTGAAGTACTGTGAGGCAAAATTTGATTTGGTGACCGTTCTGAGGAGCAATCGTTCCTTTTTTGAAGTATGTGGGGATAAGAAGAATCATTTGAACAGTTATCTGGTGCTGCACAGACGTGTATAACTGGTGGCATTGGCGGTGGAGGTGGCGGAGGTGGAGGCGGTGGTGGCGGTGGTGGTAGGGGTTTCTGTGGCTGTGGCGATGGTCCTTTTGAGCTAGCCTCTGTGGTCGAAGTCTGGTTCTTTCCATTAGCAATATCCGACCACTTCCTAGCTTTGGAATTCAATACAAAGCGATTCAGGGGATAGTCGTATGTGTTGTTGAAGGGTGTGGCATTTGGAGCGCTGTGAGTTCGATTCACCTGCACTAGTCTGCGTACTGGAGTTCTATCAATACATCGAGAGATATTGCTTAAACTGGTGGTCCAACATTGAGTGCACTCGGCCAAAGTAAATCGATGCGGACTGTGCTCGTTGCAACAGATCAGTCGATGAGTTGTATCCATCAATCGTTTCCAAACAGTCCTTCGGGACTGGATATGCCTTTTTCGCATGTTACTTTGTCTATTCTGCGCAACGGCGGTTGTTACATCCAGCAAAACCAGTTTCAATAGATGATGAAGAATTACTTGTAAGTAGTAATTGAGTATGGCATCTTTACATGTCTGTGTATTAATTGACGAGATTTGGGAGGGGAAGAGAAAGAGATCAAAGATGAGAACAGTTAGTTTCTTCCTTTAACGTGAAAACTCAGTTCATTATCTATTTATTCATTATCAGTTCAATGTTGTTTTAGTGGGACTGTTCGATAAATTTCGAATTATCTTTCGGTTGTAATGTTCTTGTTGAAACTGTAGTCACTTTTCCTCATTACCCTCTACCCACTCATTGTAGCCATATGTGTGAATCATATTTTTGAACATCAAGCTTATCCATTTTGGCTTATAAGTTCGCAAATAAGGCGTGGTCTGTTTCCCTCCTAACTCTGATCGATAGATAGTTCATTCGCATCCTTTTCATCCTCATGCGGTAGGATGAAGAGAAAACGAGCTGATTTCGAAAGGAATCCAATAGCTTGTACCTATCCGAATGTTATTCACCGTTTTCATATCCGTGGTTTTGCAGTTTAACCCCTATTTGAGAAAAGTATCCTTCTGGTGTTCGCCCATCCCAAAAATAAGCATGCACACACAAACAGACATTTTCTGTTTGACACCCTTTCGAGATACATTACAGTTGGTGTTAATCAAGTGTCGATAAGAACAACGACGAACGGCCACGCCCTGTCGTCCTGTCCTTTTGAAGTTGGATGGGAGCGGGGGGGGGGTGAGGACATCTAGTGTGAATAAACGACCACAGCGAAGCATGAGTCTCCAGTGAACTCCTTTTTCTACCATTTTGTCTGTTCGCCGAGCTTGGGAATTTGTTCGTTTGCAAACAAACAAATTTCCAAGCTCGGCGAACAGGCAAAATGGAATTCAGTTCACAAGAGCTACGAGAACCAATTTTCACTCCTTTTTCTTTTTGAAAGTCGTCCATGATTGACTGATGCTGGGTGGGTTGTATAGCGTAGATTGCAAATATGAATATGATGCATTTAGTTATTCCTATTTCATTTTATCCATCGTTATCTGATTCCATTACTCACCGTTTGACAGTAGGGATCTCTGTGTGATTCCTTGTCATTCAGGTAACCAATCGATAAAACTGGCATCTCATGATGATGCTTAATTTTGCAATTTCCGGAATTTGCAATTTTTACGGAAAGGGCTCGTTATCTAATATTAGGTCACTTAAGTGGTGTCAACTTTACCATTTTTTACGCAACATGACTTCAGAACATTCTCCTCAGACGTACACTGGAGCCTAAAAATGTTCTCCTGAGACGTCTGATTTTAGTTTGAGGGAGTTCTTAGTAAGTATTTCTGATTCCACGTCTTGCTACAAACAAATCCATCTATCACATGTAGTGACTTCCATTGAGCTTATTTCCCTCGATAAACAGAGTAGTTGTGTGAAATAGGTACTATAAATTTTGTCTCTACATCTTTCCCAGTTCGTCATAGCTGAGCCACTAACCTTCCTATTCCAGAGGATGTTTGATCACACTGAAATCCCACCGTCGTGGAAGCAGGGAGTAATTTCACCTATTTATAAAGGCGGCTCCCGTAGTGATACCGCTAACTACCGCCCTGTAACCCTCCTTCCAGGGTCGTCCAAAGTCATGGACTCCATAGTAGCAGATTCTCTGATGGAACACCTAGAGCAGCACAACGTTTTATCACCGAATCAATATGGATTCCGACAGAATCGATCCTCCGCTACCAATTTGATGATGATACGAGAAGAATTGACAAAAGCAGTTGATGACGGCGATGCGGTAGACGTTATTTATCTAAACTTCTCAAAAGCGTTCGATCGGGTGAACCACGACATTCTACTACGGAAACTCTATAATCACGGTATTTGGGGCCTCGTGCTTCGTTGGATCGAAGCATTTCTCCGACATCGGACCGTATCGGTTCACGTTTCTGATTCGCTTTCCAGATCTATAGAGGTTACCCATGGGGTTCCACAAGGATCTGTGCTTCATCCGCAACTTTTTTTATTATGCATAAACGACCTACCGGAAGCTCTGGGGCCAGAGAAATTACTTTTTGCAGATGACGACAAAATTTGGAATACAATAAAGCAACCAGCGGGCTCACTGGCATTCCAGAAAACGTTGAAAGCAGCCCATCTGTGGTCTATTCTGAACGATATTGAATTCACTATGCCAAAGTGTAAGGTTCTATTTCTACGACACAGGGGGTGATTTTCGTATTTCCTCGGAAATGAACAACTGCCACACGCCGCAAGTGAGTAGGACCTGGGCATCATCATTCAAGAAAACTTAAGCTGCTCACTCAACTGCACCACAGCTGTAAAGAATGCCGGTTTGCTTAAGCGTGTCTTTGGCCGGTTTGAGTCAGCGCTTTTCCCCCGTCTACTATCAGCATACATTCACCCATTCACAGAGTATGCTATCTAGGCATGAAATCCATGGCTACAACGTGATTGCAAAATACTGGAGCGTCCACAAACGATGGCCACCAAAATGGTCAGGGGGTTGAATAGGTGTTCATACGCAGAGAGATTGAATTCACGAGGTTATATTCCAATCACTACCGATGCATCAGAGGAGATATGATTATGGTATTCCAAATAATGCAAAACCGAAGCCATCCGTGTCGCCCGCTTCTGCAATTATCATCCAACGTTCATCTTAGAGGACATCCATTCAAACTAGTGGTCTCAAAATGCCGCTTGGGATGCCGGCGTCAGTCATTTGCAGTCAAAGTGTGTTCGATCTGGAACTCTCTCCCATCCCACGTCGTCTGTGCTCCAAGCATTGAATCTCTCAACGTGAGATTCGATGAAACATTAGCACACCTTACATTCCAACATAAGTGAAGCTGCGTGCTGCAGTGGAAGAAGCACGCATCACGTGACACCTTACACAATAAATTGTTTGTATCACTGTTTTTTAACCACCACAGTAATCTATGGGACGAGAAAAGCATGAGCTTGTAAGTTATTCCCATAACAAATCTTTGACCGGACAAATCACCCGTTTCTTCTAGTTAACCATGTATCCAGAAAGCACCAAGGCTGAGTTTCACGGCAGTTAGAGCTTTTTAAGTAGTACCATTTCTACAATTCAATCTCCGGACTCGTCTCGGGAATCGCGTGTGAGTTATCACAGCATCAACAGGTTTTGCCCAGAATGGCTGATTCCATTGTTTCACGTTGTATAACTTGCAGTCGGTCACTTCCTAAGCCCAACAGTAACAAAAGGAGATACTCTCTACTATCCGCTAACTTCAATTAAGGCCTATCACGAAATCAAGTCCGGAAATCAAATTCCCCATGAATCGTTGACTAAACACCGGTGACAGCGAAACTCAAATTCAGTTAGTCAATCAGTATTTGGCTGACTGCATGAATTGAGGATTTTTTCAATACTAAGTTAGAATATTCGTCAAGAAAAATAAACAACACATATATAGATCACTCCATTTTGTTGAGATAAGGTAACTTAGACCGCATTTGATGTACACAAAAATATTTTTGTGATAATTTTCTGACAGCTGCATTTTTATGATTTCTGAGGGAAGACAAATAGCTTGACCAGTACTGAAATTTGAATCCATACGATAGTCTTTAGTAATTATCACTGATATCGCTTGCTGTGGTTGTAGACGTTGTTAGTTTCATTTTGTGCAACATTGCAGCGATAAAAGAAAACATTAGGTTGTTGCATTTTCAGTTGGCTTTAATAAATCCGTCAGACCGGCTTGAGACTCGGCAAGTCCAATCCAATACTACAACTACCACACCCTACTTGACCGTTTCAATGCTCTATCCTGTACATAACACGGTATCAAAATTAGTGACCAGTTGGGAGGGAGTTAGGTCGGTTGGTAACACAAAACAGAAAAAACATTATCAAGGATGGAGCACGATAACCAAATGATATCTTATAAGCTGGTCAGCCAGCAGTATTCAGTGGACTATCGATCAGCTAAAAATCACCTCAACAGAATGCTGTAACACATTTGAGACGCCAGAGCTGTTCACTTTGTGGTTCAGCTCTGACGTATCTCTATATGTTCCGCAAATCGATTTAAGCTTTGTTTACTCGTAATAAGAGATGTTGATCAATTACATTGTTTCACCATTGTTGATCACCTTGTCACAGCAAATGTTCCTTCGCCTCCCGACTACTCCAATACTTGACGTAAAATGAACCCAAATGAAACTATTAATCAATATGAGCAAATAAAAGCTTTTGAGGCGCTATCGATCACAGTATCATATTTGAAACAATAAGTAAATCGATCAGTTGATTGAGTCTGAATGTGCCTACTTCTTAATAATCGTTCATAAGTTGCGATCATATAAATCCGCATCAATATTTTGTCATTCGTATTTTTTGAACCTGATGGTGGCAGTCAAGCGGTAAAGGTCGTAAACTTATTTCCCCGGAGGACGTGTGTTCGAATTTCACCACCAATGTCTGTGTTTCCCCATTTTCTATGTGTTATATTGCAGCCCTATAATTGATCACTCCCCCTTCCTGAAAATTGTATCATTGTATAGTCAATAAAAATAATTAAAATGGAAAATAAAAAGATGGAATAACTCGATGTCATCATTGACTACTCTTTTCTTACAAGGGCCGATTATACCAAATGCATATACCTCCATAAGCATAACGGCATTGCATCTTCAGTAAATGTTTATCGATCGAATGCGACCACGTGGCTTTTTGTTCAAATATTTATTGTTTCTCAAAGTCTGAGATAGGTTTTATGCAGTTCATTCAAAAAATGAATACATACCTTCGTTTATTTGAATTTACATATAGAACCTACTTAAGCATATGCACAGCGTAAGGCATGTGAGCTGAGCGATGAGACCGCATCGATCACTATGCTTTTATCCTGCCCAATTTACAGAGGAATATGGGAACACCAAAGCTCTTTTGATTTGGAGACCATTGGTAGCGTGCATGTTATGCAGAGACATTCGCTGCATTCTCACGCGGGTTCAAATCCCACCGATGTTCTAGATCTTATATGATCTTATATGTGTGAAAAATACCGTTCTTTTACGAAAAATG